TCCCTGCTTCCAGATAATCAGAAGTTTTATCTTACCATTAGTGAATGCTATTGGATTCAATGGAATTCCAATATAATTAATGGAGCTTAGCCCTATTTCAGGGTTTTATCAGTTTTTTTCTATCCTGCTCTTTTTCTTTTTTTTTCTTTTCTTTTTTTCTTTTTTTAAAAAAAAACAGAGGTGCCACAAGTTAAACAGCTCTGGTATTTTGAATCATACACATTTTTGTTAAAAACAAGCCATCTCATTTTCTACGCTACACGGAAAAGAAAGCCAGCCGCCATGCTGCCAATCCCATAGAGTCAGTTCAATTCTGGCTTCAGAATATATACCTTGATATACCTTGCATATCTCCCATCACTTTCAGCTTGTGCTGCACATGTTTGTGCAAGGGCAGAATTCAACCCCTAACTTTTATATGATATAAAGTTCTGGTGACTTCTTACACACTGGTACAGGTAAGACTTCAGTCCTTAAGCTACTTTTATCCCCCAGCAGAAGTGATCTCAATTAAGATGTCAAATGCTACTTGCGTGCTTCAGGCTCCCAATGGTACCTTTCAAAACTTAATATATTAATTTCTCCACACTTATGAATAGTGCCTGATGCATGCTAACATTTTGCCATTTTCGAGATGAGAACATCAAAAAGGATATTTCCATTCGACGATGCTGATGCACGCCCTCCGGATGGGATTTTTCAGCGTTAAACACAGCAGTGCCCGGGGAGGACGCGTAGCTGTGGTGGTACCCTGTTTTTTCTGTTTTCCATACTGCTGCCGTTTTCTCTGTGTGGAGCTAGCCGTGGATATTGTTGCATTGCCAGCGCTACCCATCAGTTTGGCCTGCCTGGCAGCATCAATCGCAGCTTGCCAGGACAGAGCTGCCCCTGGAGTAGGGATGTGCTCTGGGGCAAGCCCTGCAGCTGCATTGGCATTCATGTTGGCATGAGCTGGACGGGGACTCCCATAGTTGGAACCTGTGAAAGAAAAAGAACACAGAGAAGATTGTGGAGACATTTAACAGCAGAAGAGAGTGCATTTAAAAAACTTAAGTATCAGTAAAATCAAGATCTGAGGTCAAGTGTAGGGTATCCTCTTACTAACAGCTTTTTCCTCCAATTCAGCCTCTTTATTTTAGAGTAATACTATTGTGCAGCCATTCATCTTGCAACAGTCTCCCAACAAGAACCAATGGACACAGTTTAGAAGTGCTTCCAACTAACATATTCTCCAGGGATCCAACACAAAAAAAGTTGTCTTTTTTTTTTTTTTTTTTTTAAAGCCACACATTTTACAAGTTGTATTGTTTGAAAGTGCAAAAGCTGAGGCTAGTTCTCACTACTTTATCACGCAGACATACAGCACCTATGCTATGTAGTACATGGCAAAGAACGCAGATGAGACTTTCCAGTCCTATGATTAAAATCCTTATGTTTTCAAGATTATCTCAAGGTAAAACGAGACTTCAACGGTGAGTTAAATTGTCTTGGCAAACAGTACATATGCATAAGCCTAAGAACAGGCTAAAAGGAACACTGAAGCAGCAACCGGAACATAAGGCAGGGTTCATGGCCTCTGTCCCATAGGATGCCGGTGCAAATAATTCAGGCCCCAACCAATGTATATATTTAAAAACTGGAACAGATTACTTATCCTGACAAACTGATTTTATGAGAGCTGAACTATTGAAATCAGTGGAAAAAGACTCACTTTAAAAACTATCATTGGCAGACGCTATCAAACCTAACAGTCTCAAGCTTTACACCTATTCCAGCTTAAGCTGAAGCAGTATATGCATCTGCCCAATCCTCCTAATATTGGAATATATATGTTCGGTGACCATCATCTTACATGTCTGTTACATGTCTGATATTTGGAAGATCTTAGCGGTACCCCCCAAAAAAAGGAAGTCATCCTTTCAACACACTGCAATTGTTCCATTGTTTCAGTAAAGACAGTTATTAAGCCACCTGTGCCTCTTCAATGAAACGTCTTCCCTGAGTGAAATTAAAACTTCAATCATTTCAAAATGAGTGAATTTTGAAACTTCAGGACCTGCCTCCCTGGCTCTTTGTTTGAGTATACTTCAATTCAGACACATGAGCTTGGGAAAGATTAAATGAATTTTTGCCACAGACAACGCTTTACAGAAGAAAATATAAACCATGCTAGCAAAGTGCAATGTAAAGTCATAACAGCCAACTTTAATTTGGGAGAATCTCCTGTTTAGATGCATCCTATTCAAAGACTTAAAATTCCATTTAACTTTTCTGTGGACTTGTGAACATGCCTGTTACCCACATTTTGGGATATGGGTAAATGGAAGCTGGAATGGTTTATAGATCTTATTCCTTCATAGGTGATAACAAAAAGAAAAAAAAACCCATTTCAAAACACTGCTTGCCCTCAAGAAATTGTTTCCCTTACTTCTGCTCAGAAAAGACTATGCTTCCGAAAAGCATATGTCCAAATGGCAGAGAGTAGAAAACCCAGTCAGAGACTTGGATCACCTTTTATTTCGAAGCAAGCTCAAAGCCTACCACTGACTGTGTTCCACTTTAGATTAATGTGGAAATAGGGTGTTATTAATCAGATCAACTGGGCTCCTGCAGACTCCGGGACAAAAAAGTGAAGACCACGTGACTATCTCTTATCCTTCGATAAGAGATGTTAGATGAAAGACAAATAAAATTATGGAAACCAGCAAACTGTTTCAAAGTCTTGAAAACAAATAATGATCCAAGATGCATATTTTAAAGTTGTACATGCACTGCCAAGATATCACAGCAATGACTGCATTACAAGTGAATCAGAGCAGACAGAGTAAGAGAATCACATTAACAGACACAGTGCAACAGGCTAGGCCCCTACTGAGGCAGCATGCAAGATTTTAAAATTCATCTCACTGAATCACAAGGAAGGACATAAGCGAGTCAGATGTTATTTTATGTCAGACATTGCCACAAGATTACCAGGCTGTTACAGTTTCACTACATAGCAGGAAAACCTAGAGCTTGTCATTATGCACTGAAAAATCGCCTAGCTACAAACCAGCCAAAGGAAGCTGGTGAGTAATATCACTCCGATATGTGAAAGAGAAAGCAGAAAGAAACAAGAAATGGGAACTAGTTAATTGACATCCCTAACATTTTCAAAGTGAGAAAAAGAGCTTTCAGAATTGCACAGACTAAGCAGATTTCCTAGCCGAAGCTGGCAATCAACTGGCAGGCAAACTTAGTTAGAAGTTTTCTAAGACTAAGCAAATTGTAAACAGCACTACTCACGGGATACGTATGTATTTTCAGACTAGTTCCAGATTCAGTTTTTCTCTTTAGCATCTATTTGACCTCCCTACCCTGAGGCCTGCTGGAAAAAAAAGTAAATGGAAAATGCTCTAATTATTCTCCAGCTCCAGCTCTTCTTTAATACTGACCCATTACAGTGGATAAGAAAGATGTGTGAGTTTTCCAGTAAAAGCAAACTTGCTGATCCATCGCCACTATGTTCTTATCATGCTGGCTAGACCATGCGGTCATGAAAATAAACAGCTGCTGCATCTTAATGATGACTTCTCTGCACTTTGGGAATGTGTCAAGTTTCTCCGTTATTACTGCTTATTAGATTTCGCATGAGGATTCAAGTCTGCGCATTTTGCCTTTGATGTGCCAGTACAGGGAAGGATACAGCTTCTGGTGGTTTCGTTGCTTTTACTTCTACCACAATCACAAGGCCCATAATAAAGTCCTTTATCTCAAATTAGCTTCAAAATATGGGTCAGTAATGACAGATTTATATTAGCAATTATTACAAATATTGATTACTGATAAAGATCTGTCTGTTTTATGAAGCTCAGAGGCTGCAGAAACTATCTGTACTAAATAACTAATGGCAGTGACAAATGACTAGGTCTACGGGCATCTTACAGAAACGGCTTAAATTAAAAAGACTGAAGCTCAGAGTTCCACAGAAAGCACGTTGAAGAAATGAGCAAACCATTTCCAAAGCCAGCACAGCCAAACTTCCAAGAATTTCTCTGAAGAATGAAATTCAGCACAATAATTTAAACGTTTAGTATTAATGCCTCAGACATAAGCAGAACACGCCTCACATTGAGCTTGCGAGGCACCACAGTAAGCTCCACCTACGGCAGTCCTTTCTCCCTTTCCACAAAACTTAGCTGTAACCTGAGAGTTGCAGTTACTGGAATTGCTATTTTCATTGTGCAATGTGGCAATTAAAATACTTCATTTGATTTCCCTGCTACAAATGAAGTTTCATGATACCTAAATCACTTTAATCACATTTATTTATATGATTATAATGCTGGAGGTTGGCCAGGAGCAGGAAGGAGATTTAGCCCCCACCCAAACAGAATCACTCACTAAAGCACCATGATCCGCAGCAGCATCACCCTGCTAATCTCTACCACCTTTAACAAGAATTTGTGCTGTTGACTATGTCCAGCTGGTGCACAAAACTGAAAGGTTTATGAATCCTCCTCACTCGCGCTCTCTCTCAAGTACTTTTGGGCTATGAATCACAAATTTAAGTGTTTGAACAGTAATTAAACAGAAAAGTAACAGATAAGGTTGCAATGTAACAGGAAATGAACCTTTTTTGCACAAAATACACGACATAGTTGTAAATGTACAAAAAACACCAAAAGAGTATACAGTGCTGATCGCCTAAACCTTTGTAAGTGCAGATATACATGCAAATATCACGATACACATTAATTGATCCAAAAGCAGCATTAAAAAAACCACCAAACACACAGAAACCTAAGCAGTGACCACTCTATATGGAAGTGGGCAAGCTAATGGAATTGCAGCTCGAGTTTCTTGATTCCATCTAGTTATCCATGACATTTATTTTACAGAAGTTTTGCTTAGATTAATTCTTAAAAAGAAAATAGAGCTATGCCAGTGCTAAGTGTCACTTTTCTTTCCCCCCCACCCCATCACTCTATAAACCTCAGAACTCAAACTGCAAACACTGAAACAATGGCGTTGCACAACTGTATTCTTCCCCAAAGCATAGGAAAAGTCAGTATAGTAAAAGGCAAAACTCATTAAATCATCTCTCAATTGATTTCAAGCGCCGAAAGAAATTAGTGCATACAGAAATTAGGGAGCTGGTCACACTACTAAGATCATGTATAAGACTATAACCCAGGCACACAGGGAAAAAGTTATAAAATAGTGGAATGAGAAGTGCCTAAGAAACATGAAGAATAACACAAAAATCAGCCTATGAAGACATCTGTTAGTAAGAAGAAGAATATGGAAAACATTGATCCATTAGTCAGGGAAAAATGAGAGCATTGGATAAATGATGTCAAGAAGAATCAAGTGTTTCATGTCCTTTTTGCATCAATCTTCACTAAAGGGGACGAGGAAGCACCATAAGCTGGTGACTAGCAGAAGTAATCCCAAACCAGGTATGATTTTCAGCTATATTAGGAAAAGAGCAAGTTAGAAAGTACTTAGATAACGTACATACTTTCAGCTAGCTGTAGTTAAGTACTGCATCCTGGAATACTTCAGAAAGCTCTTTAAATAATCTCAAAGCTGTTGGCTGCTGTTTCAAATTCATGGAGGATGGAAGAGATCTCTGAGAACAAGAAAGGGCAAATGTAGTCCCCATTTAAAAAAAAGAAGTGAGAAAGGAAGAAAATTGAAACCCAGTTTAATATCCATCTCCTGAAAAAGTCAGAGATAAATAAACAAGAGTCAGCAAGTACTTGAAAGACAAAGAAAAGCGACAGCAGACATGGATCTGCCAAGAATACACTGTGTCAAAGACAACTTTATTGCTTCTGCAACAGCGCACCAGAATTCACAGGCAGGACAGAAGCCATCGGTGCCATGTCTCCTGACTTCATTAATACTTTTGATCACATCTCGTATGACATTTTAACAAGTGTGCTAGAGATACACAAGCTGAAAAAAAATTATAACGCGTGTGCAAAGCCAGT